GTAGTCACAGAAGACAGAAGTTAGTGTTTAGCCTATTTGCTTCATCAACATTTTAGAGTATAACAGGCATTCCACTTTATATTTCAAAGCATGAGGAAGCTATTTCAAAATCAGTCATATCCTGCCACTGTCACCTTGCTGTTGATAAGAACTGAGGAGAGGCACATTTTTTGCCTCATAAAGTTTTTGTGTTTTTATAAATCCTCCTGTAAGGATTTTGCTATAGTGTTCTATTCATTTTTTAAAGTAGTGTTTGTAAAAATGGAAGGAGGTTAATTTTAAATAGTTGGAAAACAGCTGGTAACAGAGAACTCTCTGGGGACTTCGGATATGCACAGAAGTACTTCCTATCCAGGGACTGTTGTAAAGCATATATGGAAAACCAACCACACTATTGCCTTGCATTTTAGAAAGTGTCTTTACACTGCACTTAACAAACAGAACAGAGACACACAGACAGCTGGAATCTTGTTACCAGCCTAAGTGATACAAAAATAGGCATACAATTTTAGAATTTGTAATAAAAGCATTTAATTTTTTTTTTAAGGAATACTCTCCATTTTTCTGATTGAAGCATTTCAGTTGAAACACAAGATGATTAGAAGAAAAACTGCTTTGAGCATTTATCCCCTACCCCAAAAATACAATTCAGGGGTCTCAACAGGTAAGGAGGTATCAGTGTGTTTGTCTCGAGGAGCCATATGTGTAAATTGTTTAATCAGTTTTAAAACCTGTTTTACCCCTGCAGGGCACAATTTTTTTCCACAGTGTTCCCAACATTCTTCTATGTTGGTAGCTCAAAAGCAGTACATTTAATCAGAAAAAAACCCAAAAAACCACTTCAGATAGGAATAAAAGAGAAGAACAGGAAAAGAATTAGTTAAAAATATAACAGAAATAAAACAACTAGGCATATTCTGAATGGTCTTTAGTTGCTTGTCCTTAAAATAATACAGCTAGCAACACCATTGCAATTCGCATGAATGTGTTTCACTAAAATGAATTTATCCCCATCTCTGAATGAGTAAAAAGAATAATAATAAAAAAAAACAACCAAAAAAACACATCTGGTCCAGGAAGTTGGTATCTATACTGAAGTGGCGACACAACTAGTTTGAATCAGGGGCCAACGGGGTAAAACTCCTCCTACTCATTAGCACCGGCCTTAGTGGCACATGGATCTCAGATGGGGCCTGTTATCACAACCCTCCCTCCCCATCAGCAAATCCTGAACTAATCCCTAACACATTACCCAGAACAGGTTCTGTACCACTTTGTTTTAAAGTTAAGAAAAACTAAAGAGGATAACAGACAGGGCCAAAATGGAAAGTGGTATTAAATTCATTAATTCGTCCATCTGGACACATTAAGTCCAAGTATCTGGCACGGTAAGAGTTCAGCAGATAGCCTCATCACCATGAAAATCCAAATGCTGCCACCACGGAGGTGGTGGTCGTTAAGACTGATGCACATAGGTATATATTTAGACAGAACTATGTACAATACACCAGTACGTCCAGGTAATTGTTTTGGTTTTAAACAGTAACTAACAGAATAAGCCTTCCTTGTAGCAGTTTTCACTAGGTTCACATGTATTTAACAGTGATACACTTTTGCTTTTGGGAATGTTTCCCATTAAAAATTTGTTAACAAATGACAACTTTTAGATCATATTTTTGTACTAATAATGTCCAACTAATTTTAAACAGGATATTTGACAGTCATAAAGACAGAAATTTAAACTAAAAAACACTATAGAGCAGTACAGATTCCAGAGTATAAAACACTAAAAATCTAAAAATACCCTTCTCTGTGAGCTATAGAAAAAGAATTCTTATGACTTGAAGTACAGTGTGCATAATTTCTAGTATGGTGTGATTTGTTGATTATCTGTACCTACACAGTAGTAGAAAAGCATAAAAATAAAAGAAATAAAATAATTTAAAAAAACAAACTACATGTTTTCACAAATGACAATTTCAGTGGCATGCATTTTAATCACTACAGAACAGAGAAGTTCAGCCAATTAAATAGAATTTTACTCCTGTGTATTTGCAAAAGAAACTAACAAGGATTCCTCATTCTTATAATTTCATACAATGTAGATGTGGCACAGGACAAACAGGAAAAAGTTGTTCAAATACAGAGTCTGAAAGTGGCAATACACAAACACCACTGCTTTCAACACAGCTTGGTTAAAAAACATCCCCATATTTTTGCAAGAATGGCTAAGCTAGTAGGCACCACACTGTACACTAACAGGAACTTCAAAACAGCCCAAAAGCAAGGAGGAACTACTCTTATGTGCTCTCAAAACACATTCTTCTTCAACTTAATTCACAAATAACAAAAATGTTCTGACATGAACTTAAAATATAAAAATAAAATATTTAAATAGACCCTCCTAAATCAACTCTAATTATTTTGGCTTCTAAATATCTCTATTACTGACAAAGGACTAAATCAACTTGTTGGATTTCTGAAGCAAGAACCCCGTAGGTACACTTACTGCCCACCACTGAAATGAAACATCAGTCAGAAATATCCAATATGTTGGACCACTTGCAAGTAAACTGTATTCTAACCCACAGAAATTAATTTCACTTTAAGACATTTGCAGGGCTAATGTGCCATTATAAATTCTACTATTAATCAACAGTAAAGTGCTGAATTACATTAATTACCTGAATCACACTCACATTTATGATCTTCATCTGTAGATTTCTTAACAAGTCCAAAGAGCCCTTTCTGTTGTAAAAGCTAAGCTGTTGTGCAAGTATTATAAAAATAGGTACTTTAATTAGGAGCTATATACACAACAGAACTTCTGCTTTAAGAGCTGACATAGTAGAGATGAAAAATCCATGCAAGTATTCATAAAGGTACTCAAAACGAAGGAAAAAGGACACTGGTATAGAACTTCCAATACCCTGCCATACAGCCACTTACTATATTAGATGATGTCTAGACCTGGACTGATAAGCATCATGCCACCAACATGCTTTAGATTCTTTTGTAGCTAAAGTTGATTTGTAAATTTTAAACTACAGCATACATTTGATCTATTTCTCATGAAAGTGTACCATTAAGTTTGAGGTTAAACTTGGAGCAAACTTCACATCTAGTCACATAACCAGCACAAGCAAGACGTTGGTGCAAAGGGGAAGGTATCAGCTGTACATAACAAAGACTCTTCCCCTAACTGCACGATGCAATAAAACTATTTTTAAATTTAAAGTTCAAGTGGACTATAATGAGAAAAAGCACGATTTTCTTATCCCAAATTTAGGACAAATTTCCAGAGGATCAAGAGGAAAGCTACCTCAGCTACAGCAGTCAAAAAAGTCAAACCCAAGTTTGTAGAGCTGACAAGTAACTCCAAAATTCATAATGCGATGCAGATAGCATTCTCAAAAGAGCTCCAAACAAACTGCAGAGCAAAATTGGCATTTAAGTTGAAATGGCCAAGTGCTGCATAGAGATATGCTCACACACAACAGTCATGTTTAAACCAGTGCATAGAGAAGGTAAAAGCACTTATGGTAGCTGCAAATGTTAACAAGTCCATACAACTTGTACAATTGAGCAATGAGTCCATAGAAAAAAGAACAGAGTAAGAGTAGAAATGCTCAGGCAAAATTATAAGATGACTTTCCAACTGTATAAAATCCACATAAGAGTTACAGTAAAAAGACACCAGTGGAAAGTACTCAACTCAATCTCCAACACCCAACAGGCAAATAAGACCAGCATAGACAAGGCTTTGGCAGACAATTTAAAAATTCTAAATATGGCATTACACTGCTAAATAATCCACAAAATATATTATATAGCATATTAAATACTGGGTAACCACATGTGTTGGGTTTGTGTGGTGGGGCTTTGGTAGCAGGGGATGGACTACAGGAGTGGTCCTGTGACAAACTGCTAGAAGCTTCCCTAGCTCCAAGTCAGACCTGCCTCTGGCCAAAGATGAAGCCATCGGTAATGGTGGTAGAGCCTTTGCAAAAAATATACTTAAGAAGGGGAAAAGAGAAACGAAAAAAGACCTGCAGTGGAGAGAGAAGTGGGATGTGAGAGAAACACCTATGCAGATATCAAAATCAGCGAAGAGGGCGGGGGAGGGAGGAGGTGCATCAGAGCAGAGATACCCCTGCAGTCTGTGATGATATAGCAGGCTGTTTCTCTGCAGTCCATGGAGGATGGCAGTGGAGCAGATGTGGACCTGTAGACATGGAGGATGCCATGCTAGAGCAGGTGGCTATGCCCAAAGAAGCCTGTGACTCTGTGAGAAGACCATGCTAGAGCAGTCTACTCCTGAAGGACTGCACCTTGTGCAAAAGGCCCAAGCCTGCGCAGATCGTGAAGAACTGCAGCCTGTGGGAAGGAGTCATGTCACAGGAGCTGTGGAGGACTGTCTCCTGTGGGAGGGACTCCATGCTGGAGCATGGGAAATGTATCCTCCACCTAAGGAAGAAGCAACAGAAACACATGATAGACTGACTGCAAACCCCGTTCCCTGTTCCCCTGTGCCTCTGCAGGGGAGGAAGCAGAGGAATCAGGAGTGAATAAATTTGAGCCTAGGAAGAAGGGAGGGGTGCAGGACAGTGCTTTTAAGATCTGGTTCCATTTCTCTTTGCCCTGCTCTGATTTGATTGGTGATAAATTGATTTTTTTTCCCCAACTCAAGCCTGTTTTGCCTGCAACTGTAACTGTTGATTCCTCCCTGTCCTTGTCCTGACGCACAAATTTTTTGTTAATATCTTCTCCCCACCATCCCACCACAGGGGGGGAGAAGCAAGCTAGAGGTTGTGTGATGCTTGGCTGCCAGCTTGGCTTAAACCACCACACCAACTCTGCAGATCTGATGCTAACAATGCTTTAGCCAATGAGAGCCAGATGGAGCAAGCTAAGGAAACGCTGGTGTATCACAACAGTGCTCAAGGAAAAGATAATCACCAAGTCGTGCTTCAAAAAGAGTACTCTGGGATTCCACACTATCATCTATGGAGCAAAACAAAGTTCTCTAGTTTTTCAGGGATGTGTCCTGCGTAGTATATATTATGATTCACTATTACACGAGCAGCAAGACACTGCAGTGTAGTATGATTTATGGGCTGGATTAAATTTTTTGCTATTTCCTTCTCATCCAACAAATCACTAGCAGTTTGTTTACGTGAGTTTGTGGCATCAAAGTGTGAACCTGACTTGATAAGAAGGTTCATGATGTCTGGGTGATTGTTCAGTGCAGCTATGTGTAATGGACGGTTGTTATCAGAGTCTTTGACATTTACATCAGCACCACATTCCACCAGAATAGCAGTAACTTGTAGAGAAGGGAATTTACAAACTGGGTAGCGACCCACACATGTAGTATTATTGTCAACAGCAAGGTGTAGTGGACTGAAGTTATTCTTCCCTCTAGGTTGAAGCTTAAGAAACTGGTAAATAGTTCGTTTCTTAAAATGCTCCTGTTCTGAGCTGCAAGGTACCTTCTCCAACAAGCAAATTAAATGCAAAATGATGGAAAGGGCTTTGTTCAGCTGTATGGGATCAGGAGGACACTGGGTTTGTTTCATGGCCCGTTCTATTTCAAGAACGCTTTTGCACAGTATACCCATGAGATCATCAAACGTGACAGTAGTACCCAGCAGGCCTTTTGCCCTATCCTGCAGCATGAAGGAGAAAAGTTCAGCAAATGACAGCAAACTGCTGGCTGTCATAGGGCTCAATGGATCAAGATTGCTCTGTTGCATGTCCAAAGCATATTTCCATAAGTTGATGCAGCGCTTGAAGTTTCCAGAGTCTGCATAGACAGCACCTCTATATCTAATATAGTAGGATGTATCTGGGTGAGAAGGGCCAAGAATACGTTCTCTAATTAATAGTGCTTGCATTCTCATTTCGTCAGGGTCTGCAATAAGATTTTCTAGCTCTTCTGAGCTGTTCACCTCTTTAGCATAATCATATGCCATAATTAGTGTTTGTGGCATCGGTTTGCTCAGGATATTAGTCCTATCACTGTATCTCATTTCCATAGCTCGCTTCCAGTATTTCAAAGCACCAAGCAGATCTCTCTTTTTGTCCACAAATGTTGCTCCTAGAAGTTCCAGAGCATTTATGCGCTCAGCCTTACTGGTCTGTACATGCTGGGTCAGAAAGTCCACTATATTTGTGTGGCCTGTCACGCTAGCTGACAGAAGGGGAGTCATTCCATAACCGTCCTTTTCCATTTTAGCACAATACTTGAGAAGCATCTTCATGATCTCCAAACTTCCAGATTCTGCACAGTCATGCAATGCAGTGTTTCCTGCAAGAGAAGAAACACAATTACAGAAATCATAATCAAACTATATTCCAGCACCCACCATGCTAATAAGTAAAAAAAAAAGTTAAAAAAATAGTTCAAAACCCCCAAACATTAATAGTTAACAAATAGCCATTTTAACATCTATGACTATGAGAATCTCAGATGATAAGTCAAAATATTCAAGATACAACTAAATATCAAGGCTGCCAGGCAGTTATACAAATCAAAGTACTTCATATTACTGCCTACAGGAATTACACAGGTTTTAAGGACCTTTTTGTGTCATTATTAAAAAAAAACAAAACAAACCGAATTCTTCACTACATAAAAGCATAGGATCAGGCAATTTCATTGTGTCAGAACTCAAGGAAGCAGGGCAGAAGACCAGTCTGACTGAACAGGGAATATTTCATGGAGTCTAAGATGAAAACTAAATAGTACACTCTTTGGAAGTGAGGTCAAGCTTTGCAGAATTATAGAGCTGGGATTTGTATACTCAGGGAGAAGACACAAAAGGCTAAAACTCAATTAAGAGCTGAAATTGGCCAGTGGTGTAGCAGGCCACAAGAACTTTTTTAAGTATACTAATAGCAAGAGAAGGCTCACTAACAGCAAGAGGACATCAGACCTACACTTACTGAAGATGGTCACCTGACTAATAGGGATGAAGAAAAAGTAGAAGCATTCAATGTGGTGTTTCTCCTCAGTCCTTCATAAAACTGCCAAACCTTGGGCTTCTTGTTTCCCTGTATCAGCAGACCATGTGTGGCAACAGTGACTTTGCATTTGTGTACACAGACTCTGTAAGAGACCAACTGTATTAGCTCAATGTTCACAAATCCATGGGGCCAGATGGAATCCATCCCCCCCTTGCACATCTACCAAAGGTCTTGGAAGTCTAACCAGGTTCCCCACTGACTGGAAGCTAGCCAATGCTATTTCTGTTTATAAAAGCGGCAAGAGGGATGTCCCAGGAAATTTCAGAACTGTTAGTCTAATCTCAGTTCCTGGAAAAATTATGGAGAATACCATGCTGGATATTACTGAAAGGCATTTAAAGAACAATGCAATCACCAGGCATAGTCACCATGGGTTCACAAAGGAAAAGTCCTGTTTAACTAATTTGATATTGTTCTAGAATAAGGTCACCCACCTAGGGGATGAAGGGAAGTCACTGGATGTAGCTTTCCTGATTTTAGTAAAGCTTTTGATACTGCATTACTGCATCCTTCTGGACAAGTTGTCCAAATGTGAGATAAGCAGATACATTGTGTGTTGGGTGAAGAACCAGCTGAACAGCAGGGCTCAAAAGGTTACTGAAGTGATTGGGACTACATGTGGCTGGCAACTGGTCACCAGCAGTGCTTCTCAGGGCCGAGTTCTAGGGCCAGTGCTGTTCAATGTATTTATGAGAGATCTGGATGTAAGAGTTGAATGAACCATTAGCAAGCCTGCTGATGACACCAGGTGCTATTGACTCTCTAATGGGAGAGGCCTTGCAGAGCAATCTAGACACATTGGAGTACTGTGCAGTCATCAACGGCATAAAATTTAACAAGACCAGCGGCTGGACTCTGCACCTTGGATGAAGGAACACTAGGCAGAAGTCTAAATGGGGAGAAGAGTGTCTGGAGAGCAGTGCTGCAGAAAGGGATCTGGGGGTGTTGGTCAGCAGCAGGCTGAGCAGGAGCCAGTAGTATGCCCTGGCAGCCAGGAGGGCAAACCACATCCTGGAGAGGATTAAACACAGCAAAACCAGCCAGACAGAAGAGGGGACTGTCCCACTGTATTTAGCCTTTTGAGACTGCTAGTATATTCTGAGGGAGCTGTATATTTTTGTTAAGCGCATGTATACATGCAAGCTATTCTTAATGCTTTTAAGTCCCACATTAATCCCCATGGTTAGGATTCCCAAAGCCAGGAAGAAAAAAATGCCTTCAACACACAACACAGAGTCATTTATCTTATAAATATCTTTACATTTACATGCAGATTATTTGTCATTAGCATGAAAACATAAAATCTTCTATTTAAAGGCACTCTGGTTCTAACACCATTTGTGGAAATTTCTAATAAGAACTAGTCACCTGTTGAAAACTCTAATCACAGAAAATTATAAAGAAAGCATTACTGCAGTTAAATATTTAACTGTTAGCGTTCAACTAAAGTAAAAATTTGCTTAACTTCAAATACGAGCACTTCACTGGAAGAGAAAGAAAAAGACTGAGACAAACTATTCTAGTCCCCTCCCAGCGTTAACAAAGTCTCTTATGTGGTTGACTGCTTTTAAAATGACACAACTTAAAAACTACCTTGTTTTTTACAATATATTATTCATAGTATGGATTCTGGCATAGTAACCTTTCAGCCTCCCACTAAATGAATATGTAAATAATTAACAGAAAGCTAAATGAAAATCCACCCCCCCCTCTAATTATGATTTCTTACATCATTAGCCCTGCACATTCCAGTTATCTGCCCACTAGATCACCAGTTTCCATTACATTGTTAGCAAGTTTTCACATTCACAAATGAGACCTTCTTTTCTAAGAGTTCTCTACCCATTCACAATCATCAGATTTGGCTTTTCAAAGTTCAGTGAAGTTTCCTGAAGCTTCCTTATTTGTATTTTTGGTAGGCTTTTTTAATGCCAACAAAACAGCAATTTACAGTGCACTTTGCTGTTGTATTTCTAGTCTCTAACAGAACTATGGTAGGTTAGGAAACAAAGCAGTACTCTTGAAATCTTCAGCTTATGTCTGGGATAAGCGTGTTCTTGTAAATATATAGTCTACTGATTGAAAAAACTTTCATTTGTCTAACCATAAACTTGAATTTATTTTTTCAGGCTCTGATCTCTAGAATGCACAGTTCACTCTTCATACTGTTTAGCTAATGAAACTCAAATCAAAAGCGTGCCTGAGATTCATCTTAAAAGCTACATACTGTATAGAAGGAAATTAAAACTAAAACAGAAGCGAAGAAGAACTGACAGCACATTTCCAGGCCTCTTTGTTGCTCCCAATTCCAGCAACCAGAAGAACAGATGTAAGGAGGAAGAGCACTTGTTCAGGACAAACTGAATCCCAAATCATACTCCCCACATACAAAAATTTAGCTTACATGATACTCAAATTAATAAAAAAGATGTGTAATAAGTTATTTCCAAAAGATTGTGACTCAAGTTTTACAAGGTTTTGTAATTATAGCAGAGCTATGAACTTGTATTGTCCCACCAGCCAGTATTTTAAGTGCATGTTCCAATCATTTTTTAAAAAAATCACTGCAGAAAATATCAGATGGTTTGTTAATGGACAGTGAACTTAATTGCAACTATTCCTTTCCTGAAACATTTCTAAATAGTGGGCAGTGATTTTACTACCATCACAAACAAGTAAGTGAAAACAAACAACCGACAGAACGTGGCACTTAAAATTATCTATTACATGAAGATTCACAAAGCTAAATCCAGTTCATACAACGGGAAGCAATTTTCCATATTTAAAAAATAATTCTTATTACTAAGAGTGTTATGTCAGTTACAGGTCTGGCCACATTACATTCTCTACCAATACCAACAAAATTTCCAGTCACAGGAATAGAGATTTGTCCAAATACAGGTGGATTAGATGCTCAGCTAATTTGGCATGTATATCTTATCAACTATAATTCCCTCAGGCCTTATCATACATCACAGACCAGAAAACTGCCAATACGTCAATACTGAGAAGCATGAGACCTTTAAATTACTAAGACAGAAAGATGTCAAAAGCAGACAAATACACAAACTTGGCCATGCATGTACATGTTAAGTCGTCTTGCTATGCTGTAGTAAGACTAGTTAAAATGCAATTACACCAGTCAATCCAGAAGGAAAGACAGCCTGGTTCCCCTCTTTGGCACCTATTTTCTACCTTCAAGTCAATAGTTTTAAGGTATTTTAGATGTTGTAACATACAAGCATATTAAAGACAAATAAACCAAAAAGTATTATTATCTTTAATAAGCTGTTTTCTGAGGGACACATACAAAGGTGCTGGGCAAATTCAAGTACTTTTTTAAAGGTGTAAATGATTATTTCAAAATAGGTTTCATTAAGTGTCTTAATACATTTTTAATGCCAAAACAATCTGCAGGAATTTAATCACATATATATAAGATAGACAATATTACAACACGGAAGGCTTATTATTCTTGCACAGAAACAAAGTTGAACTGGAAATGTTTTGTAATCACAGCATTTCTCTGCTAGCAAGTGAGTACCACTAGACTGTACTGCTAACACTCCTACAAACTACTTCTATCTCTAAAAAACTTTTATATTCATATTATCTAATAAATTCCTCTCATTAAAAACAGCAATAAAGAAATGGAATAACCTCACCTCAATTAAAAGTGGTATGAACTTTACACAAACACTTCACATGCCACAATTCCCTAACTATCCAGTGTTAGCAAAAGCTTATCAGAGGTGGGGGTGGGCATAAAAATTAATAAAGAGGCCATGTCTTTCTGTGTCAGAAGCAAATAATTCCCAAAATAGACTGTTAGCGTGTGACATGGGAATGAAACAAAATGAAGCAACAACACAGAAAGTGATCTGACTTGATTTGCAACCAATTAAGCACATCCACTTCCTAACACTTACAAAAATCTTGGCCAAATTTCTGCATAGTAAAACTTGCATTAAAAATCAGTATCAATCTGAACTCATACCCAAGACCCTTAAAAAAACAGTGTAAAATATTAATTTAAATTACTAACTAGTACATAAAATTAACCACATGTATTTATTTTTGGAGCCTTATACATTAATTCAATTGCTTTTATAGAGTGAAGCTGTTCATGCAACATTTTTTTTTTTTTTAACAAAGCACTTTAAGTAATTAAATATACCAAGAGTTTTACTGATTATAAAAAAAATTGGTACATACATACATATAAACATGGATAATGCACAAGAAAGTTTCAGTAAAAATCATCCCTACAGTCAGTAAGGA